CCTCATTTGCAACATCGGGTGACTTTTGGATAGACAGCTCTTTCAGAGCCAGTCCACTGAAGAATCAATGCTATGATTCTGAAAGAGCTGTCTATCCAAAAGTCACGCGATGTTGTAAATAAGGTAATTGTGACAAAAATAAATTTCCTGGGGACGAGTATATGAATGAACTGACAAAAGATTACCGGATACGCATGCCTGACGAGCGGCAAGAACCGCAAAACCGGTTGTGTGTTTCCAGGGAAATTTCGTCCTGTCATTCACATACTACTTATTATGACAGTATGTATCTATATCGTGGTTAACACGACATCTTTGACAGGTAAACCATGTGCAACTAGCGTGCTAGCATGAAAATGAACACAGAAGGGAAGATAAAATGGTCGTAAACAACGTAAACTTATTGCAGCATCTGAACACCAATCCATGAACTAGGATGTTTGTGATTCACCTGACTGTTTTTGAGACCCACTTTATATTATCCATGTGCGGATGTGGCAAAAGGGAATGTTCACTCCGTCATAAATACTAAAGTATGAAAATCATCACTAAGACTAAGCACTCAATATGTTTTGAGGTACATAGAATTACACAGTGATTTTCAACCATGCCCCTCCGGGGCACATAGAGCATACTTGAGCAGAGTGGTTCCTCTCACCAGATGAACAAATTGTGATTTTACCACTGAAACAACTCTATAAATGAACACAGACATCGGATCGTGAAGATGCACATCGAAAGAAAATACCACTTGGTCCACTATTCAAGACAGCTCGTGGTGGAAGGTACCAAATGATGCACTTGGATACATTGGTATGACCCGTTTAGACACCAATGTGCTTCATAGATGGAGCATTAGGAGTCTTTAACAAATAATGTCAGTGGATATTTGGGAATTCCATGTGTGCTGTGCGTCGCTTTGTGCGTTCAATTGTTTGCGAGAATCGCTGATATCTGCGATGGTGGCTGTTTCACGCATAAAATTAAGTCTTACAGATGGAAAGTTTGTTAGGCTTATTGCAATTTTCACACCATCCTCGTATAGTAGAAAACAGTGAAGAAAATTTCGCCACGATCTAAATGCATGCAAAGTAGGGAGTAAGGTGGACAGAGATTGGCCCTATTTTAAGGGACGACTGGGCAAACCACCGTGGGATAAGTTATATTCTAATCCTCACCAGTGTTTGCTTCCCTCATGCCTTGATTTCTGACTCCCTTTAATGAGACAAATACCCGCAAACAAGAAGGGTTCTGACCAGGTCACGGTTGTATTGATCAAATTTTCACGCTGCGTCAAGTCCTCCAGCTAAGCCACACACACACACACACACACAAAAGAGCCTTCGTCTTAGTTGACAGTGAAGCTGTAATAGGCTCGAACTTCTTCGTAAAGGAATGTCACAGAAGTATGTTAACCTATTGAGGTCACTATAATCGCATAATTCTGGTAAATTACGCGTCTGTGGTGAGCAGCGTAAGTCGTTCGAAACTATCAGCAGTGTTCTTTCATCACTCCTGTTCAATTGTGGTGTATGGGGTACCCGGTAGGGGTAGCACCTCCGACTCGGAGGGCTGTCAGCCCCTTTGGGACATCCCCACTTCTTTGGTCTCCACCGGGTGCTCAGCTCTCACTTGTGGCTCCCAGAAGCTGTTTGGATGCAACAGCAGCCACACCCCGGTAAACCGCTCGACAGGTGGGCCAAACCAGGTTGATGGTAACCGGGAGCTGAATTCCCGGCGTGTCGGTGTCTAACGCACGTGTTGTGCTGACGAAGTCAGTTTCACGATTCAGCGGCCGAGACAATGACCCCGTACTCACCAGGGATGCATGTACCGGTTAAGCTAGCGACTATCAATGGCGTATGAGCTCCTCCCAGAGGGCCACAGGCAACCATGCGCTACCTTCGTGCTGCCTGGCAGTTAGCACTTGGATTTGCTAGAGATGTTAAGTAGAGATGCCAACTCGACCCAAAGCTGAGGACGTTTCCTGTACCTAACTCCCAAGAAATTTCATGGATATTCACTCAACCTGTCTTGCTAATCATGCTACGGCGTTCCCGGGAAGCGACGCGCCCTATGCTCCTCCGGTGGCCCGGATGACAAGTATACGCACTGGACACCTCAAACTATGCAAAACTTCTTACATTGGATGATGGAATGTAAGAACACTCTTAGATACCGGGAGTCAGACACTAATGATACGCGCGCTGCATGGCTATCAACTGGATATTACATGCCTCTCAGAAGTCAGATTGGCGGGCTCCGGCTCCAAAAGTATAAAAATCCCAGGTATTGATAGCCATTACTGGCTGTACCACAGCGGCAACGAAACGTCGGATCAACACGGAGTGGCACTTTCTCAAAGCCATCGGGCTAATAGTGCTTTACTTTCCTGGAAACCAATATCCTCTGGGATTGCAGTATCTCGATTCAAGGATCGTCCAGTAAACCTCTCAGTAATCGCTGTCTACGCCCCGACTCTCCCATCTGACAACAACGTCAAGGATGAGTTCTATGGCAGCCTTCAATCGCTTGTTAATGAAATACCCAAGCGGGATGTACCTGCCATAGCAGGGGACTGGAAAGCTCGAACTGATCCACAAGCATAGGCCACGAAGCCCAGGGAGGTTTGACCTGGGCCAGCACTGCGAGAATAGCGACAGACTACTCAGCTTCACCGATTTTAATCGATTGTGTATTATCAACACGCGGTTTCAATATCCAAAAAAGCATCTTCTAACATGGCACTCCAACGACGGTCGAAAGGCACATCAAATGGATTAGGTTCTCATCCGTTCACGATGGGTTCCTCCGATTGAAGACTGTCGATCCTATCGCGGGCCTGAATGCGGGAACAAAAACGGATTTGATCACGTACTAGTTCGCGCGAAAGTTTGACTCCATCTAAAACCTCGCAGGAAGACCGTCTCCTCAAAACGCCTAAATGTGCTTCCACTAGAGAACAGCGAGAAATGCTAGACGATAATGGGCATGATAACTGCACAACTGTCAAACGATCCCCTCAGTACACAAGGAAACACAGGGAGCTCGGTTGAAACTCAGTAGACCAGGATGAAATCGTCGGTGTAACAAGCTGCTGTACACACCCTAGGCACTAGGCACTGAAGGACTGGATATCCGGCCACACCATACAGTTAGCTAATGCGGCCAGAGAGGGCCTCTCAATCCTCTGCTTATCGCGACAAGCAACACGATCATCTAGAAACGATAGATGCAACTACTGGAATAAAATGGCTTCAAAAATGGAGATAGCAGCCAACCTGAGCAACACGGCGAGCCTCTTCCGATTTATTCGATTAGCATCGGACAAGAAGCAGGTTACCCAATCTGTGCTGCGCAGTGCCACCGGTGAGCTCATTTCTGATGCGCAGGGGAAAATGTCTTGACGGGTGGAACACTTTAGTCTTCTTCTCAATCGCCCTCAAATCCAACTTCCATATGCGCCCTCCTCACCATCTTCTCCATACGAAGCTAACTGCGCTCCGCCATCAGTAGAAATCTCAGATATCATTAGCCATCTCAAGCCACGGAAAACTCCCGATGAGGACGAGATACCCGCCGAAACCTACGCAGTATTCTTCAGCCATTGTAAACCCTCTTCATAACTTACTGTGTGCAATCTAGGAAACCGAAATTTGCCCAACTGACTGAACCACATCGATTTTACTACCTTTCTTTAAAAAGGGTGACAAATCAGTGTGCGAAAACCACTTGACCAAGGTTTTTGCATAACTTTTGCTGAACCGCTTTGCTGCAGCAAGGCACGCACGCACTCGTCCTAACCAGAAGGGATTCCACCCCGGGTGTGGGCTGTGTCGATCAAATATTCACTCTACGTCAACTCTTGGAACACCGCCACAAGTTTCAACAAATTACAACAGTCTGCTTCATTGATTCTCGTGCGAAATTCAACTCCGCAGATCGCGAATCCCTCTGGAACATAGTTCTGGCCGGTGGTGCCCCAGTCAAGCTTGTCAAGTTAATGAGATCCTACAATTCTAACACTAGTGCCCGAACTCGTGTCTACGGAGAGGAATCTTGCCCGTTCGGGTTAGGATCTGGAGTGCGACAGGGATACCCATTGTCCCCAATGCTGTTCAACTTTGCCGTGAACTGGATAATGGGTCGTTCGATGGAAGGACACCGGGGAGTTCAGATCTCTCCGAACTTATGGCTTACCGACTTGGAATTCGCGGATGATATTGTCGTCTTTGGCGAGGACATGTCTAACCTCCAAGTGATCGTTGACCGCATCGGTCGACGGGCCTCCGAGATCGGCCTAGAGGTGAACACATCAAAAACCAAAACCTTTGCGACAGTCCCGATTCATCCCGAAAATGCTTTACCACTAAACGACGAGCGGATCGAATCCGTCGAAAGCTTCAAATACTTGGGCTCAACCATTCTCCCAGCGGCCAAGCTAGAGACGAGGTGCAAATGCGCATCGATGCTGCAAGAAGGGCGTTTTTACAGTTG